TTGTGAAAAGGATTTAGGAGTTCTGGTTAGCAGTAATCTAAAACCAAGACAACAGTGCATTAGTGTTCACAATAAAGCTAACAGAATTCTTGGCTTCATATCTAGAAGTATAAATAATAGAAGTCCTCGGGTTGTTCTTCAGCTCTTTGGTTAAGCCTCATTTAGACTATACTGCTCAGTTCTGGTCACCGTACTACAGAATGGATATAAATGCTCTGGAAAACGTACAGAGGAGGATGACAAAGATGATCCCATGTATCAGAAATCTTCCCTATGAGGATAGACTGAGGGCCCTGAATCTGCACTCTCTCGAAAGGTGTAGAATTAGGGGGGATATGATTGAGGTGTATAAATGGAAAACAGGAATAAATAAAGGGGATGTAAATAGCATGCTGAAAATTTCCAGCCAAGACAGGACTCACAGCAATGGTTTCAAGTTGGAAAAATTCAGATTCAGGAAGGATATAGGAAAGCACTGGTTTGGTAATAGAGTTGTGGATGAGTGGAACAAACTCCCGAGTACAGTTATTGAGGCTAAAATGTTGTGTAGTTTTAAAAATAGGTTAGATAAATACATGAGTGGGTGTGGGTGGGTGTGAGTTGGACCTGACTAGCTTGTGCTGCTGGGTCTGGTGCCATGCTCCTTCCTTGAGTGAAGGTGACCAGACTGGGTGGGTCATTGGGCTAATCTGGGGGGGGGACATGGACCTGCTCTGCATGGGTCAGTAGGCCTGTTGCAGTGTTCCTTCTTTCTTATGTTCTTATGTATGTGAGGAAGTACCCTGGCTGGTGTGTGGGGAAGTACCCTGGCTGGTGTGTGGGGAAGTACACTGGCTGGTATGTGGGGAAGTACTCTGGCTGGTGTGTGGGGAGGTACCCTGGCTGGTGTACCACCATCACTACCCCCTTTTACCACCACCACTTTCGTATCTTTCTACAAATTTTTTCTTGAATTCTTTAGTGTTTCTCATCCTCTTTACCAAAGGGCTGGCACTAGAAGCTTTCTTTGGGCCCATGGTGGCTTATTTAGCAGTTACAAGCACTAAAAACAATGGAATACAAAATGTATTGCATGTACGTGTGGAATCGTCCTCAGTGGCTGGCAAACAATGGCACACTGGCTGTACATGGAGTGTCTGGGCATCTCAAGGTGCACGGACATGTTCAGAGCGAATGACTTTAACCGAGTTCAGTGTCGTTAACTTAGCCAATATTTTGGCGCAAAAACGTTACTGTATCCGATGATGTCTTAATCCGGGGGTCCACTGTATAAACCTTGTTGAATTTAAACAGCACTACAGAAGGAATACTAACAAAATAGCTATGAGTTTGGTAGACTGGAACAATGAAATAGGCCAAAAGTAGGGCATAAATTGGGTAATCCGGCACCCTATAGGGCCCAATGATGCCAGATTTGTGATGGCCGACCTGTAGTAGTAATAGTAAAAATAGTAGCAGTAGTAACAGTAGTCACAGTAATAGTAGTAGCAGCAGTAATAGTAGCAACAGTAGTAGTAGTACGAGTAATGGAGGTAGTCTAAGAACAAGAAGAAAACAGGGCACTGCAGGATAATAATAGTCCACGAGAGTGAGAACAAAACACAGGAAAAAACTCTTATTACAAGACACACCAGGGAAGATGAGAGGAAAGCTAAAGACACAGAAAGAGAGAAGAAGTAGGGAAAGGAGGAAAAGAAAAAATGATGTTAAGTCATAAGTGTTGTGAAGTTTGGAACATTTGACAATGTAATGTGAAAGGAAGGTGTTTACAGAGACAAAGCCACAACTAAGATTTATACTAGGAGAGCTGTGTGTAAGTGATGCTTCAACAAGACAGATGGTGTCTGTGAAGGCTAGAAGTGTAGTGTGTGTCTGTGAAGGCTAGAAGAAGTGTAGTATGTGTCTGTGAAGGCTAGAAGTGTAGTGTGTATCTGTGAAGGCTAGAAGAAGTGTAGTGTATGTCTGTGAAGGCTAGAAGAAGTGCAGACTGTGTCTGTGAAGGCTAGAAGCATAGACAGTGTCTGTGAAGGCTAGAAGGGTAGACAGTGTCTGTGAAGGCTAGAAGGGTAGACAATTCTGGCAGAGGACTAGTCAATAGGATAACTGTGATCTCTAACATGACAGAAAAAAGCATAACTAGCATTGGCAAGTCTAACACTTCTTTTGTGTTCTTTAAGTCTCTCCAAAGTATTGGAGAGGACAAGAGGAGCAGGAAATAAGTGGACACCAGAAGCATCAGTAGCAGGAAGAGAGGTACCAACTACATTACCATGAAGGTTGTTAGTTTGGTGAAAAGTAAGCTTGATGTCTAAGGAAAAGAGGGACTCATTAACCCTTAAACTGTCCAAATGTAGATATACATTCGCCTACGCAGCGCTCTGAATATTTTGAAAAATAAAAAAATCTTTTTCTGTTTTTAAATTAAAGAGCATATTTTTATAAATGGCATAGGATAAAAAAAAAAAATTCGGGTCAGTACTTACCAAGACGTAAGCCCGCGAAGTTGGTGCTAAATGATGAGGTGTCGGCAACATGGAGCACTGCCGCTTGCAGAAATAATAAACATTTATCATTTTTTTTCCAATTCTTTTCTATTTTTTGTTGTTTTCATGTTATGATAATAATGTTTTGTTGCAGATCTTTTGATTTCACAGCCAGTTCTTGTTGAGACAAATGTTTGGTACTGAATTAGTAATCATACTGTCACAAACACACATGTTCACACTGATAAATGAATTTGTACACCTGGTTCAATCACATACTATTGTTCACATATACAGTGGACCCTCGCCTAACGCTATTAATCCATTCCTGAGAGCTCAATGTTAGGTGAAATTATCGTTAGGCGAATTAATTTTCCCCATAAGAAATAATGGAAATCATATTAATCCGTTCCTGACACCCCAAAGTATGAACAAAAAAAAATTTTTACCACATAAAATATTAATTTTAATACACACAAACTAAAGAAGACATGCACAGTTACATGACACTTACTTTTATTGAAGATCTGGTGATGATTGATGGGATGGGAGGAGGGGAGAGTGTTGATGGTGTTAGTGTTTAGAAGGGGAATCCCCTTCCATTAGGACTTGAGGTGGCAAGTCCTTTTCTGGGGTTACTTCCCTTCTTCTTTTAATGCCACTAGGACCAGCTTGAGAGTCACTGGACCTCTGTCGCACAACATATCTGTCCATAGAGGCCTGTACCTCCCGTTCCTTTATGACATTCCTAAAGTGTTTCACAACATTGTCAGTGTACAGGTTGCCAACACGGCTTGCAATAGCTGTGTGAGGGTGATTTTCATCAAAAAAGGTTTGCACTTTAAGCCACATTGCACACATTTCCTTAATCTTTGAAGTAGGCAACTTCCTCAATTTCTCTATCCCCTCCTCCGAAGCAGTTTCCTCAGGTCTGGCCTCTTGCTGTTGAAGATGATCTAGCAGCTCATCAGTGGTTAGTTCTTCATTGTCTTCCTCCACCAACTCTTTCACATCCTCCCCACTAACCTCCAACCCCAAGGACTTCCCCAATGCCGCAATGGATTCCTCAACTGGCATAGGATTCACAGGGTTAGCCTCAAACCCTTCAAAATCCCTTTTGTCTACACATTCTGGCCACAGTTTCTTCCAAGCAGAGTTCAAGGTCCTCTTAGTCACTTCCTCCCAAGCCTTACCCATAATGTTTACACAACTGAGGATGCTAAAGTGATCTCTCCAAAACTCCCCCTTAGATCAATTGAGTTTCTGAGGTCACTACAAAGCACCTTTCAAAACATAGCTTTTGTGTACAGTTTCCTTGAAGTTGGAAATGACCTGCTGGCCCATGGGTTTGCAGGAGAGGAGTGGTATTAGGAGGCCAAAACTTGACCTTAATAAAGCTCATTTCTGCAGAAAGTTCGCTCTGGCCACATCTGAAGGATGACCAGGACATAGTCTAATACCAGGAGGCACTTAAGGTCTAAAATTTTTTTTCAATTAGGTAATTTTCACAGTGGGGCAAATGCATGGTGTAACCAGTCATAGAAAAAGTCCCTAGTGACCCATGCCTTACTGTTTGCCCTCCCACACACACAAAATTAGCCTTGAGGACATTGTTTTTTCCTGAACACACTGGGAGTTTTAGAGTGAACACCAATAAAGGCTTCACTTTGCAATCACCACTAGCATTGGCACACATCAACAGAGTAAGCATGTCTTTCAAAGGCTTAAGTCCTGGTAGTGCCTTTCCTCCTGAGTAATGTACGTCCTGTTTGGCATTTTCTTCCAAAACAGGGCCCGTTTCATCACAATTAAACACTTTGTTCAGGTTTCAGTCCTTCACTGTCTATGTACTCATTGAATTCCTGCACATATTTTTCAGCCACTTTGTGGTCCGAACTGGCAGCCTCACCAAAGCCTTGTCACACTATGTTTTGCCACTACGATTCTTAAATCTCTCAAACCAACCTTTGCGGCCTTAAAATTTACTCACATCATCACTAGTTGCAGGCATTTTTCTAATTAAATCATCATGCAACTTCCTAGCCTTTTCACATAAAGAAACGCTTGAGAGATGCTATCTCCGCTATCGTTTTTTCGTTTATCCACACCAATAACACTCTCAACATCTTCAAATCGCTTGCGATCTCTGTTTCGAAAACAAATTAAACCTTTTGGAAAGAAACAGCTTCCTTGATTGCCGTTTTTTGGCCACAAAAATAGCATGGGGGATTGGGGGTTTTGTTACAACCTGGCCAGCTGAAGAAAGCACTCCACTTTCATACTTAGCAATGATCTCTTTCTTCATATCCAGTAATTTTCACTCTTTTTTTCTGTAGGGTTGGGACTAAAACTTTCTGGGCCCATGGGGACTTTTTTTGCAGGTGCAAAACACTAAAAAGCTGTGATAATGTGAAAGTTCCGAGTACTTTAAGCACTGCAGTGGGTGGCTTTAAACCGGACCCACCGAACAAGGAGGGGGCTCAGGCCCCACGTGGGCGCGTCTCGAAAGAACCGCGTTAAGCGAGTTTTTTAGCGCTAGCCGAGGCAAAATTTTTGCATTAAAATGTATCGCTAGGCGGATTTAACGTTATTCGATGCATTCGTTAGGTGAGGTTCCACTGTATATACAAGGGATTTACAAGTTGCATTTATGTTTCTAGAAGTCCACCACTGTATGGTACTCCAAGAAGCATGGATTCATACAGAGTGCCACCCCACATTGCTGACACATGTATTGTGTGTCTTTTTGCACTCAGGGTTGCTGTTTAGTGTAAGCACACACAACACACTTTTCTGAGAGTACTTCTTTGGAGTAGATGGTAATGGTATCAGGCAGTGACAGTTAGAGATTATTCGGTCGGGCACTTCCCCCTCTTCTTGTGGAGTGACAGGTCACTGTTGTGGGGTGACAGGTCACTGTGAAGTGACAGATATAGGTGTGGTACCATACTTTTTCGCTATCAACTTGATGATATTGAGGGTGAATTCTGCATATCGTTGTCACTTCCCAGTCTTTATTTCATACACGTTGAAAGCACTGAGCATTGCAATGTCTACAAAGTGGAAAAAAACTTTTATATACCACTTGCGACTCCTATGCACACAGTCAACAAACCCTATCATCATGTCACACTTGTCAACTAGTCGCATATTGTTCGCATAGTCGATGACAGCAGCTGGCTTTACAACAGGTGCATTGTTAAACCTGCTCAGCCTGTCTGTTTGTACCATCTTGTTTCTGTGGATGGTTGACAGCAACATCACGTCCCATTTGTCATGCCACGTCAGTGCCATGATGTCACTGGCATGAAATGCTTCTACTGGACTTCCTCCATTGAACCTTGACATGTGTTTTCTACTTCTTCTCACTGTTCCACATATATCAGTACTGTTCACACGTAGGAAATCAGTGAGCATAGGGCTTTTATACCAGTTGTCTGTGAACAATGTATGACCTTTGCCAAGGTATGGCCCCATCATCTTGCGAAGAACATCCCCAGAAATGCCCAACATGCGCCTGGTATCACCGAGTGTATTTTTCCCTGTGTAGATAATGACATCCAACACAAGACCAGTCTCACAGTCACACAACGAAGAGTTTTATACCAAAGTGATTACGTTTGCTTGGTATATATTGTCTGAATGACAGCCGTCCCTGGAACAGAACTAAGGACTCGTCGACAAAAATGTTCTTGAATGGATAAAAGTAGGCGCTGAATTTTTGCTTCAGATACATAAACAATTCCCGGATTTTGTATAAGAGGTCATTTCTGTTTGGCGTATTCCTGTCTGAGAAGTGTAAAATTCGTAGCAACAGAGTGAATCTGTTACAGGGAAGGAGGTCACAGAAGACTGGAGTACTGATGAAGTGGTCTGTGGACCAGTAGTGTGCTATATTGTTCTTACAAATGTGTGGCATAAGCATGACAGTGCCAAGGAATAAATACATTTCAGCCACAGTTGTATCTTTCCACCTGCGCAGCCATGAAGACTCTGAAACATCTGTGTGGTCCATTGTATACTGGTGGTACATGTTGATCTGGGTAACAATTAGGTTCATTATCAACTCATCAAAGTATAGTTGAAAATAGTCTAACTCTGTAGTCTCATTTGTGATGGGAGAGTGTGGCATGATGCCACTTCCACTGGCATCAAAATTGAAAGGATGTGGCAGAAATGGTGTACTTTCTGTCCAGTTCCATTTGGGGTCACATGGTGCAGGGTGGACCTGTGGCATGGGGGAGCAGTAGGGAGGTCAGGAGTGGAGGAAGCACATGGTTGAGAAGGTACTGGGTGGTCCTTTGTCTGCCCACTCACTGCGCCACGAGGTTCAGGCACCATGCCACCCCCCCTCTTCCTCCATCCCAGCATATTCACCTTCATTATCACTATCACTATCAGTGGCTGGGGTTTCGGATCGTGACCTGCCACGACCCTTGCCACCGACTACATGTGGCACACTGCCTGAACATAGGTTATGACGCCTAAAAGTACATTTCACTGGGGGAAAATGATAATCACTTTCACTCGATGAATCGTCTATCGGCATAAAATCGATTTCATCATCGTCACTTATATCACTTTCACTATTGTTATCACCATAATGCATGGAAAATTATAATTTCCTCTTGCAGAGTTGCCTTTGGGAAGAAACACTAGCAACCCCAGAGGGGTCTGTTGTGGCCACACTGGCCACCTCAGAAGTGCTGGGCTGAGGGTCTGGTATGGCCACACTGTCCACCCCAGAGGTCATGGCCTGAGGGTCTATTGTGGCTACATGGCCACATTAACCACACTGGCCACCTCAGAAGTGCTGGGCTGAGGGTCTGGCATGGCCACACTGTCCACACTATCCATGCTGGCTACCCCAGAGGTCTTGGCCTGAGGGTCATCTAGGTTATCAACAAAAGTTTCACTAATTCCTTGATCTTCAGCGGCTATATCAGAGTCAAAACCACTAAACTCGCGTTCTGTATCACTTTCCGGGAATAGTAGAGTACGTATTAATACACCGAGGCGTCAGTGAATCACGGGGGTTTACCATGATGTTGACCCAAAATGGAGCTGAAACTAACTGATGTTGCCACTCAGTACCCCAGCATCCTTGATTTTTTTCAATGTGTGCACATCCATTCTCTCATGCCTAGGCAATTCAGGCCTATCACGCCAATTTTGAAGGAATGAAAAATCAAACACTGATCTACGTTCGGAGCCTGCCGCACGTGAACGTATATCTACGTGTGGACAGTTTAGGGGTTAAGATTTAGATGGAATTAACAACTGCAGGGGTCCAGACTCCCGATCTGAAACTTGTACATGTGGTTCAAGAATTTAAAAAAAAAAGTTTTATTTTTTTATGAAATGGTAGAGAATCTTTATCTGAAAGTAATAAAACAAAAAGTATGAAATATGACAGAAAAATGATGGAAGTAAGCTATCAGAATTTTGCTGTGTCAGCAATATTTATGGGTCTGTGATTCAGCCCATTTTGATGCCTATTTTAGGCCAATTACATTGTTTCAGTCGACTAAATTCTCAACAATTTCACTAGTATGCCTTCTATTTTATTGACTAAGCACAAGAAACCACCCATTCGCCTATTCCAACTACCCAATAAAGTGATCAAAAATTGGTAATTTGGCAAATAGCACACAAAATTCAGAAAGTGCCAATTTCAAAATAGGGTCTAGAATAAACAATGCAGACATTCATGGCACTAAAATAACATTTCCTCTGTTTCATTAGTTACATCCCCAAACCTCTCCAATATTACGCACAAGTTTTGTTTTGAGTTTTTATTCATACTAAAAAAAAATAAGATTTACTGTTATGCATTATTGTAATACAGTGGAACTTTGGTTTTTGTATGTCCAGGCTGGAGAAAATTCTCAAATATTTCTGCAATCAAAATCATCTCTATTTCTGTAATATATCTTCCACTCTATCCAATGATACCAAAAAAAAAAAAAAAAAAAAAACATCCAAAATTACACTGCAAAGTCACTATTTTAAACCAAAAACTAGGTCCCTTTTTTTTATCATGCACTGCGTGGGGTAGGGCTTTCTTTTTTTATGGTGCAGCTTATCTGAGCTTATGATATAGAACTATGGCACTGACCATTAAGGGGTCAGTGATGTACCCCACCAAGGCAGGGTGACCCAAAAAAGAAAATCAAAAGTTTTAAAAAAGAAAAATTAAAGTTTTCCTTTTTAAATTTAGTAATGTATACAAGAGAAGGGGTTCCTAGCCCCCTTGCTCCCAGTATTTTAGTTGACTCTTACGATATGTATGGCATGTCATAATATATATATATATATTGTTAACACCCTTTTGGGGTTACCTGCTTTGCTGGGACACAGCCGGTTTGTTAAAAAAAAAAAAGTTGTCAACACACTGGCTATTACCCAATGAGGCAGGCGACCAAAAAAAAGAAAGGGCAAAAGAGTACATATAATAAAATAATAATAATAATAATAATAATAATATATTATATATATAGCAGAAAAATAGATTATGTAATATTTCTTACTAAAGTAAAATATAAACATACAGTAGACCCTCATATTATATGGTAGTTACGTTCCTGAAAATGCCATGTTAGATAAATCCATATAAACTGAAGAACTTATGGGAAAATTAAGGTTACATTCCCAGGATACTCCCCCCCCCCTAAAAAAAAAAAGCCAAATAACTTTTTTTTTTTTTAGACATCAAGATCTTACAAAAATAAAAATGATGATGTTGTTTTTCTTGCTTAAGACCACAAATGCAACAGAAATATTATTTACCTTAAAATGTGGTTGCTGGTGTATGTCAGTGATTGTGAAGAGAGTGGATATGCATGGTGTGGCTCTACTGGGCTGAGGTGGATGGTTGTTGGTTGGCAGCAGAAGTGAATGGTTGAGGCTCTGGTACTAAAGTTGATGGTTGTATTGGAGTGTGCATAAATTCTGTAATGGATCTCTGGCTTCTTTACCCTGCAGTACATTATACAATAATCTATAAGCTTGGTACTGCCAGGTGGAGTCAGAGTCCATTGATGCAACTATTTTTTTCATCATTTTTCTTGTGTAGTTTCACTTGAATGACTTAATAACTCCCTGATTCAGTGATTGTATTAAAGATGTTGTATTTGGAGGTAAAAATACAACTTTTACATGTGGGGTCACATCCAGCAAAGCTTCTGGATGAGTACAGGAATTATCAAGAATAAAGAGAGCCTTGAATGCAAAGTTCTTGCTGTGCAGGTAAAAACTTGACTTCAGGAATAAAGTTATGCTTAAACCAGTCAATGAATATTTCCTTTGTTATGCATGCTGACTGGTTTGACCTCCAAATTACTGGTAAGGTGTTTTTATCTACACCTTTCAAAGCACGAAGATTGTTAGAGTGGTAAATAACCATGGGCTTACACTTGAAATCATCTGACATATTACCGCAAAGAAGCAAGGAGGAGCGATCCTTTGCTGCCTTGAAGCCCGGTGCAGCCCTGCAGAGACAGTGGTTTCACCCACAGCCAGATGGCAGCCTGAGCTAGGGAAATATTCCACGGGCGATGCTCTAAATTTTTTCCCCTTCCACAAACCAAACTGTGTTAAGTTAATTTTACAAAGCGTTGTATAAAATTATGCTGCAGTTTTTCAATAGCGTAATAACCAAAGTGTGCCAAATAAATCCGTAATATGAGGGTCTACTGTAGTAGGTTCACCGGTCTTGTCCTGGCCCGGGTCTTTTCCAGATGGTGACTCAGCACTGAGGGTATACTGTACATAAATCAATATACAGTGGTACTTTGAGTTTCGAACAGCTCCCAACTCAAACAATTATGTAAGTGTATTTTTTGCAAGTTCTGTTCTAAGTGTATTTTTGGGGGTCAGAAACAGACTAATCTAATATACATTATTCCTTATAGGAACAAATTTGTTCGGTATTGGCACTCGAACAGCCTTCTGGAACAAATTACGTTTGTAACTCGAGGTACCACTGTATTTAAATTTCTGATGCAAGAGTTGAAGTTGATCATTAAATTGAAGACTGACTGAACAAACTTAATGACTTAAGTTAACCTGACTAGAAACAAAACACTGTTTTGAGGCCTAATAACTGACCAACTTTTAGATAAACTTTTGTTGTAAAACAACTGACCTTTTTAAATAGACTGACCTTGTTTTAATACTGCTCTTTCCCCACTAAGATATGTCAAGGTGAAAGAGGAAACACATCAACTATCACTCACTTTTCACCTATCTTCCCCACCAGGAAGCCATGTGTCCTCCTCCCCCCAAAAGCATTACACCAACTATCATAAACACGAAGCCATAAGTTGTTGAGAATTACTGGTCTTGTATCTTCCACAGTCTGGCTCAAGAAGCCATAAGATAGGATCTGATCTACCATCATCCACCCACCTACCAAGCAGCTTCATTTTCTCAGTGAATTTTCTGCATTGCCATTAAAGCCAAAAACTTTTTGATGGCATGTATCATATCATCTGAGCTGGTCAGTTATGTAGTCTCTGAAGATACATATAAAATTAATACATAACATTACATAGCACTGTACCAAGCTATAATAGTTAGTGCTGTAAAAAATACATCATAATGTATGTAATGTATAAATGTACGTATATCTCAAATGTATGAACATTATCGCGTTCGCCAGACTCATCCATCAGTGCGTTCAAACATCTGTGACGGAACAAACTTTGTTCTGAGTCTTAGAAAATGGTAACACAGGGAGGCACATTTGTTCAGCTTTATGAGAGCTGAAAGTTCAAGTGAACACCACCAGAGATGAACACTGCTACAGTGTTAGAAACTTGCAACATTTACAAGAAATGTTGGATTACATGCTATGTAAATCATAAGCTTCTTGAAACCAACCACCAAAATGTTAGTCTGCCCATTTAAAACCTTCAGTTAAATATTAATAATGTTTATAATAATCTTTGGCCCAGAAATGTGGGTATAACATCTTTGTAAAGTTGTTATATGATGCCTGCTTTCCTGTATATTAAGTGTGGGCATAACATCCTTCAAAAGTCGTTATATGATGCCAGTTTTCCTGTACAATAAATGAAGGTATAACATCTTTCAATATTGTCACTACACACGTCAACTCCTGTATTACACTAAAATTAAATATACAAAAAGGCAGGTTTGTAATATACATATAGGCAGGTTTATAATACATAAGAATACAGAATTATCTCAAGGATAAAGGTACCTGTCATCTAACACCCGAGAAAATCGTGTTTTTATCCCCCAACAACTTCAGGAAGATACAATCTTAATGACCTTGCTTTAACAAGGTTAATAAGACTTCACAAATTAGATAACTGTAGAATTAAGAGTGCCAAAGCTGTTAAGTACTGGTGCAAAATTATCTACAAGTTAATGAAGGTAATTACAGTACAGTTGTACTACAAAATTTGCAGCTTTCAAAAGTGGCATTGCTTTGATTATCAAACAGTTTTATTGAGGAACTTCTGAATAGATGCCCGGGCTTACAAATATCCTCAGTGATTGAGATATCCAATATGTCTTTAGTTGGTAAATGACTTTTAAACCAATAACCACAGGATTTTGTGCAGCAATGGGCCAGCCAGGGTTGCAATTTGGGCAGCTTAAGCCAGTACTTTAATCTGGGCAGTTTAAAAAAAAAAATTGTAAAATGCTTAAAAAAATAGAGAAATCATTTTTGAAAATATGAATTTTCAGCATAAACGTGAAACTTCCGAAAATATGATGCTTTTCTTTTTAGTCACTAGTCAATATAATACAGTGCAAATTTTATATTAATAAAGTATTTGCTACCTTGCAGTTGTTCCACAGTTGTTCAAAATGTTCACCAGACTTCCCGTGTTCCAATGGATTTCTTCAGGTCACTCTTTTTTGTGTGTGTGTATGACTGATTTTGCCGCTGAAGTGAATAGTTTGTTGTGCACCGCGTATCCATCCTGCAGAAGGTAGTGCAGGAGCACATGGATACACAAAAGGCCTAGGAACTAGGGCTCAAAAGGGTTAACACAGTACATCTGGCTTTACATCCTTTTGCAGGAAGGCCAATACTAATTGAGATTTTATCAATACAGTCAGCTCATAAAGCACCACTATGTGCAGTCAGCTCTCTTACAAAGCTCATCTACTCAGTAAAATTTTTCATAAACATGACTGAAAAAGTTCATCCAATATGGAACAGCATGGACTATGAATATCCTTTCAGCTGCTGTGTAAAAGAGCTTTATAAGAAAGCTGGTTGTATTTAAAAGAGCTTCATAAGAAAGCTTGACTGAATCCCTTTAATCTGCAGTACAAACATTTTCCCAGCTGTAATTTATTAATTTATACAGTCAATGGCTCCTGATGTCTTAAAAAAGAGTTGATAAGAGCCAGATGAGGCACTGCTATGACCACCACCAGGGGTGTCATTGTGATGGAGGGATTGTCTTGGCAGTCTGGCCTTTACCCAAATTTGGTTTGGATCCAAACCACGACATCTTCCACTCTAGTGTCTCCCGCAGCAGCCTTTCCTCCTCGGTCGTCATGTTGAGCAGCGTCGCCACGGCGCGAGTCAGGTGAACCGCCTGCAAAACACCAAGTCTTATTAGCATTTTTGCTTTTTTAATGAATTGGCTGTCTCCCATTGTAGTAAGGTGATCTGAAACTGAGGGAACACTTGCACTATTGCTCATTCAGCAGCTGACTTGCCAGAAGTGTGCTGATGTCACAGCTCACAGTTCTAAACTGTGACATCCTCATTCCTCCTCCAGAGTGCAAGTGCTGGACTTCAATTATGACAGATCACATCTCTTGCCACTACAATAACTATTATCATCCCTTACTCACCTCACTATTAGTCTCTTAATATTTGATACATATCATGAACATGTACTGAAGAGGACTTAGTTATAAATACAGTAGACAGTCAATTAACATGCAATCCTTTACCACTTTTTCTCTATTACACTATTGCAAAATTGCAGTATATTTTTGATTAACATTCTGTAAAATTTGACTAACATGGTGTCACTTTTAGGGAAAAAATTTGAAACACTGTGAGCTGGACCACAGGACTTTTTCCCTCCATCTAGTGGGCTAGCAGGCAGCCTGCCTGTGTGTCAGTCCACTGTTTTTGTGGGGTAGACCTAGCTTCTTTCCCCTGCCTTGCCCATCCCACCCCTCACTGGTCCATACATGTGTCTTCCATACAACACTCGGATCTGCTCCTATATACAAATGAATAGTGTTTTCACATCAATAAGTCACTTTATCTGACTTTTATCCTAGATAATTTACATTATGTATGATAATATAATTGTACTTATGTGTACCTGTACCTAAATAAACTTACTGTGCTCAAATGTGAGCTTCCTGGAGACAATGTTTATACAGCTAGCCCTCCACTATCACGAGTTCCACTTTTGCGAGCTCTGAACATTTGCAAATACATACCCAGTTGCCCAATCATATTTACCAAACAAATGCAGCTACACTCCATATAATCACCTCCATTCAACTGTCATCAGTAACTGCATGGCTAACTGTCATCACCATCATCATTATCATTGTCATCATCACAAGTTGTCAGAGTTCGTCTGCCTTACCTTATGAGTGGTGAGTGTTTTGTTTATTCATTATTTGTTATTAAACCATAACATGTACAGTAGGGCCCCACTTACACGGCAGGTTAGGTTCCAGGCTGTCGCCGCAAAGCAGACATCGCAGGAAGGCAGAACGCCATTTTTTTCCATTTATAAATGCATATAAATGCCAGACAACAAGTTTACACTAAATTATATTAAGTTAGTAATAGAACTAGGCATTAAAAACACACAAAGTAAAATACAGTCATAGTAAATTCATTACTTATCTTAAAGTATTTGTAATCTTAATGTAGGGAGAGAGGCGAGTAGTACTTATTTGTAGGAAGTCAGGAGCAGGTAGCCCAGGTGTAGGTAGCACTGGCTCCCCGTCTCATACTTAATATACGATATTTAAAACATCCCAGAGAGGTAAAATACACATACAGTACACTCATTATTTACCTTAAAATATGTGTAGTCTTAATATAGGAAGAGAAGTGAGTAGTATTTATTTGTAGGAAGTCAGTGTAGGTAGCCGGTAGGTGTAGCTCACCTGGGCTACACCTACCGGCTACCTACACTGTGGCCGAGAGCCATATTATTAACATCGACATGCCTTGTTCACTGAATTTAATAATTTCTAACAACTACCATCATAAACAAAGGTAGAAGTAATGCCAAAAATTGTAAACAAAAGCAGAGTGAGGGAGTGGCTGGGCCAAATGCAGATTCATATGTTTTCTCTGATGGCTGAGCAGAGAAAATGTAATGTTGTCCCTCCACCCGGCTACCACACAGCTCCACAAGTATTATTATCAGAGCACATAAAATATGCAATAAATGCCAGACAACAAGTTTACACTAATTTATATTAAGTTAGCAATAGAAATAGGCATTAAAAACACAATAAAAGGTAAGATACACACAGAGTACACTTATTACTTACCTTAAAATATTAATATTAATGTGTGAGAGGTGAGTGGCAGGGTGTTTATTGAATAAAATCAGAATGGCGCACCATCATCCTCTAAGTTGGCACTTAAAGCAAGAGGCTTACGACTTCTCTTTTTATCACAGCTAACCTTAGACGCCATCGTCAATGAGAGCCAACTAGTTAACGAAAAAGTAAACGAGAGAGAGAACGAGATACAGAGTTGAGACAATGTAAGAACACAAACTGAACAGGTAGTGGAAGATCACTTGGTCAGGCGAAATAAATGCGTATTAATATGTGTCTTCTTTTAGTTCATTCACGTCCATTTGTAAGAGTTTGTAAAACATTTACCTCAATATTTTTTTTTAATTTAATAATAATTACCTCACAATACAAATACTCTTACATTGTGTACAAGTTGTACAAGTTAGTTCAGAATAAACAAACAGCAACACACCATTTTTAGAGTGAATGAAGATGATGATGATGATGATAATAATAATAATAATAATAATAATAATAGTAATAATAATAATAATTATTATTATTATTATTATTATTATTATAATAAAAAGCACTAAACCCACAAGGGTCGTGAATTGCTATATATAGAGTAAAGGCATATGAAAAGAATATTTTTCTACAGTTATCCCCCAGTTTGACTAGAGAAAGCGTAATTCTTCCGACACTACCTACACAGCTGCTTGGTAAACAAATCTAATATTTACGTCAATTTTTATTCTGTGAGTGTATGTATCATGTTTATATGCTATGTAATGGTTTTCATATATAATTTTGAGGAAAATATCATAGATGTATTAATGAAAATGCCTATATTGATGTAAAATAAGACATTTAGTGTGCCCAAGAGTGATTATTATTACGTAGTATTGGCGTCATGAGTAGAGAGAGACTTAGCGATTTTAATGTGTACCTGCACACCAGCACAGTGTGTAAGTATATTTAAGTACTGGTACACTTAAGTATAATTATCAGAGTACATATAAAATATGCAGTAACTTTAACCCTTTGACTGTCGCAACCCCCAATCCTGAGGTGTCTCCTGGTGTCGCAAAATTTAAAAAAAAAAAAAAATTATTTCTTCTCATGAAATTATAGAGAATCTTTTCACAATTGTAATGACACCAAGAAAACGAAATTTGATGGAAAACTGACGGAATTATGCTCTCGCGAAGTTAGCGACCTCGGCACTGTTTACAAATCGGCGATTTCGCCCACTTTGAGCCCTATTTTCAGCTAATTCCATTGTTCCAGTCGCTCAAACTCATAGCTATTTCTTTAGAACTCCATTTTTTTCTATCGATTGAGTACAAGAAACTGCCCATTTACCGATTTCAACTACCTAATAATGTGGTCAGAAATTTGCAATTTGGCCAATTTCACAAAAACTAAAAAATATGACAATTTCAAAATAAGGTCCAGAATGAACAATGCAGACATTCCTGGCTCTAAAATAACATTTTCTTTGCTCATCAGTCATGTCTCCAGGCCCCTTTGATATTACTCTTGCTTTCTATTTGGAATTTTTATTCAAACAAAAAATAGAAGACTTACTATTATGCAGACTACTGCAATACTGTAATAATTGTATAAATAATGTCAACCCATTCATGACTGCATATTAGAATGGCTAGCTGGATATTTATTGGACAATGGCATCATTTGTTTACTTTTGAACATTGGCAAAAATTAAACATTTCCCCTACTTTGAGCTCCATTTCTATGTTCTTTTTATAGTAAAATCAATCAAAATCACCTCTATTTCTATAATATGTTTTCCATTCTATCAAATGAGACCAAGAAAACGAGAATACATCCATAAATACTATACGAAAATAGACCACAAATTCGGCATTTTAATTAAAAAAAACGGTCTTTTTTTTTTTCTCATTATGCACTGCGTGCTCCAGGATTTTTTTTATATGGTGCACACTGACCACACAGACCCATTCTCTCACATGTGGGCCTACCAGATTTCTCCTGCTTGATTTGAAGCCGCTAGAATTTATGAGTATATATACGTCAAACACGGTACCTCGTAAGACATATATATACAGCCGCGAGAGTCAAAGAGTTTAAACACTTGAAATTTTGGAAAGTTTCCTGACATAATAGATGAGGTCACGGAAAATGTAAACAAACCGGGTGGGGGGTGCTGTATTTAAAAGACCGCTTGCCGTATAGCAAATTTTGGTCATAATTTGACATCGCCATATTAGCGGAACGCCGTAAGGCAAAACGCCGTAAAGCGGGGCCTTACTGTATATACAATATTTTACCATTTTATCATATGTTTTATGATTGTTCGTGGTTCAATAGGTTAAGGAAGCAGTATTGTTTGGCTAAGTAAATGCTATTACTATATTTTCCTACAATATATTTGCGCACCAAACATTCGTGAATTTTCAAGATTTGAAAGGTTCTTGATCCCCTAACCCTCGTGAATGTGGAGGTCAGGCAGGAACTGTACCTGTCCATGTGAGGGCCCTTCCCAGTGTTTATATACCCTCTGCTTATCTTCCTTTGCATTATAAAGGTTAAAAGATGAAAGAAACCTGGAAGTAATGTGCATATAGAACCTACTTCATGTAGGCCTGGTCACAGATTGAATTGCAGGGAGGTTGATTGCCAAAACTCTCTCCAGGTATAATAGAGTCTCATAAATAACAAAAAAAGGCACAATACCGTGACTGGAACGATACACAAATAATCCGCACATAAAAGAGAGAAGCTTACGACGACGTTTCGGTCCGACTTGGACCATTTACAAAGTCACACTAACCAGAAGTAGAGCAGGACGGCCTCATGACTCCAGTCTCTTCCAACCTTTTCTTGAAGCTCTTAATAATCTTGCCCCTTCCATTAAGTTTAAAGCTGAATGGGAATCTAATTCCTTGCTTCCTTTCCTTGATGTCCATGTCCACCGCTCAGATACAGGTTTTACCTTTTCCGTTTACCGAAAACCTATGCACAGTGGCATGTACATTCACTACTTTTCCTATCATGCTTCCCCTGTCAAGAAAAGTGTTCTTATCTCCCTCTTTCT